AATAAAGCACTAAATGATATCAGATACATAATATGATAACTCTAATGAAACCCTACTCATCCACGTGACTTACAAATTTGGGGTCATAAGGAGCTGAAGATAGATTTGGAATTATAAGGAGTCGGGGTAACTGATTCAAGAGGAGTTATAAAGAGTATATTAATTGGGAGTTATAAGGAGAGACTAATTGGGAGTCATAAGTATAAGAGCAAGATACTCTTAAGATATACTCATTGAAGATTAGAATACTAATGCTGACATTGCTAAAAATATTGTATTGATATTGTCGCTGATACTAATATTGTTTACTGTCATTAACACTATTTAACATTATTGATCACGATATTAATATTATTGTTGGCATTAATATTGTTGACTATTACTGATACTGTAATTGATGATGTAATAGATTGAGATGTGATGAACTATAAAATGAAAAACTGATACAGATAATTAGTATATATATTGATGTATATATTTTTTTATATGACTTATATCATATTGTTGATAATTAGTATATATATTGATGTATATATTTTTTATATGATTTATAGAATATTGTGGCTTTTATCTAGCATTGATTTCAGCTGTAAGATTTTACATATTTTCATAAATGCATAAGGATCCTATAATATGATACTCTGGACAAGACAAGAATACAATTATGTTTCTTTTCGTTGTTCATTGGTAAGCATTAATTAAATGATTAAAATAAAAAATAGATGCAATTCATCCAATATAGATCCTGGAGTGTGAGACACGTGCATTAAAATATGATTTAGCATTAGGACCCGACGAGCGTGTCATATGTACACCCGCAGCATTTGAGGATGTTACGTGGGAAAAATCTGAATCTATGTTCGAGTCTGATCCTTCTCTTTGATAGAATGGGAGTCGACACGACTTGAACCAATGAATAAATGTACTATTGCGGCGTCGACTGGGGTATTTATTTTCTACATTCATATTAGGCATTTAAGGTCTATAACAAAGAAAATTCACTAACAAAGACACAGCCTATAACAAACCCGATCCTCTGTTGGCAACTAGATGAGTTAATAAGATTCAACCAATAATAACCCGATGATTGTCGTGTTGGATGCTTATCTCAACCGAATGGAACCTCAAATATTTAAAAAAAAAATGCCTCCCAAATACCTATGAAAATCCAAAATTAAAATAATCACTCAAAATTAAGATATTTAAAATAAAATAAATCAACAAATGCTTAAAGCAAAATCCATATACTCTTCGCAACAATTTGTCGAAGTGGACAAATCTGAAAATTATTTTAGCTCATAATGAGCAAATGTCTGATCGAGAATATTACCAGGATTCAATTTTAATCTGGCTTTTACCAGTAAAAATATAGCATGTGTCCTCTAATCGGTGGTTTCACCGCCAAATGACACCATAGGCAAACGATTATGACCAAGTGGTTTTGCCGCCAAATGGAAACATTATATTACGGTCATGGTCAGAACTCGTATGTTCCCCAACGACGTTAAATACTTGAGCAATAAATCAATAGGATATGACTGATAGAGCACAAAATCCTCTGTGAGCTAAGATGGTTTCAAATTTATTCCCTTAGACAAATATTCACCCCAGATCTATAAGATACCCTTGGACGAAGCAACCCATGATTGCCGACAAGGATCCTTCATTTAAGTTGGGTCAACTACCTCCTCTGAATAAGTAAACCAGGGACCATGATGACCCAACATGATGGAACCATGAGATCTTGATCGAGTTTATCATCACTCCACCCACCATCTGCTTCAAGTACAAGGTGGTGAATTTCTACTTTTTAAATATTAAATATGTAAATACCAAAACTCTATTGCTACTATACGTCGCATGTATTCGTTTGACGACTAGCCTTAATCAAAAGTTCTCTCTCGTTATCAGGAGGGGTAATTAGCTATATGTGCTTGCGCCCATAGGAAACCTGAACTCATATCATAGAGTCCTCATGAAATGAGGGCAAAATCTCTAGGCAATGTCTCATTCAAAACCCAATTTTGAAATTCGGCCTAGGGAAATAAGCGTTAAAACTCTCCACGACGACCATAAAAAAGAAAGGAAAGGGTCCACGGAGAGACTGGGGCACGAATTTTCGAAGCCCACTACAAACTATAAGCAATTAAGCATGCATGAAACTTTTATTAGATGATTTGAACTCTACCCATTGGAAGGCAAAGGCATTACTCATTGGCATATACATCCAGCATACATAAATACATGTGTCTTTTAGCCATGTCTCCGAATAGTTGCACTGAATTTAGTAGATGCATTTTATCCATAGTAATAAGAATGCATAATTACAACATGCATTTCTGCACTTATAGCTATATGAAGATATTATTATTCAAGAAATTCCGGGTGTTTTAATATCTTAATTAATCCAATGTTATAACTTACCCTCAATCCTCCATGTTTGTGCTTCATAGAGCACTCCAAGGCATGACCCTCCAGAAAAACGCATAAATAAATCAAATAATATTTTTATGCAATAACATTTGTATGCACTGTACTTTGATTACATGAAAACATAAATGTTCACCATCCCATCTGAAATTATCGAAGTAACAAGAATTCCTCTCAAGATGCCAACTGTAACTCCTTTCAATAAAAATGGAATCTGCAAGAACATTGCAACAATTTTGCATGGAGCTAAAAATGGATTGGTTACAAAAAGATAATGATAACATATATCATTTTTCATTTGTCCGAAGGAAAAACTTGGATACAGACATCAAGTGAACAACTTGACCACATATCCAGCTCAATATGGATATGCAATTACAAAGAAGTTAATTATTCAGATGTCTTAAATTGAAGGAAACTAAAATATATGCAATATGTGCATCCTCATCTAAAAAACAAACACTGAAAGAAGTTTTCAACTTCAAAATCAATGGATACTGATCGTCAACTTTCAGCCCTAATTACTCAGTGTATTGAAATGAAAGCATACGAAAAAAACTACCTAAAGCCCCAAAATATGCAATTCTGATTTCAAGTTTCGTAAGAAAATTTTAGGTAAACTGAATTCTGCAGCAAAATGGAATCATCAACAAAAGTAATCTTGAACGGAAAAAAATGATTCAAGGGTGTTACTCCTGGCGGCAGCTCTCATATCCGCTCTTTTGCCACAGCACGGATTAGCATCAGTGTCAGACAATAAGATCCCAGCAAAACAATCAGTATGCAATCTACAGCTGAAGATGTCAGCAAAACCTAGCTGCATTTATATCTTAAGCAGCAGCTACCTTTATTTGTCATTTCCATAACATTCAGATTCGGTTATATACACAACTATTTGTGTCTCTATCTTAAAGCAGCAACATTCAGTTTTTTGTTTCACTTGCTACAAAATACATTTATTTGTCATGTGAGCTGAATTCCGCTACATTTATTTCTTAGTTTCATACCAATTTTCAAATTGTGCCAGAAACAAGAGAGAAAATTTCAAGATAAGCTTACAGCACAAAGAATCTTCTAACCATCTCTGCCGTAGATGGATCTTTTGCTTGGCAGTTGAAAAGGCTATCAGGATAGATATCAGCCTTCTGACCACCCAGTTTATACGTACATTTGTAAGTTTCATTTACCTGTTAAATTGATGCTGTTAATTTGCCGGATTAAAAAGATAGGATAAGGAAAGATGCATTTAAATGCAGATCATCAGAAATGGTGCTAACAATAACAACCGTCGGCACCGTTGTGCTAATCATCAAGGAGTCAGAAAAAATTAGGAAAATAATTACTTCTACATGCATGTTAATTTTAATATAGTAAATTGTGCAGAGTTTTCGTCAAGCAATAAAAGATCTGGCATGGGTGCCACCCCCTCTTCAGCTTCACAACTTAAGAAAATTTGAGAGGCAATTCATCCACGTTTGTGAAAAGAATTTTTTGTACATGAAACAATTTCAACCGATTAAAACCTTTATGAAATGGAATCATTTAGAATTCATTTCAACGCAAATTATTCAAGGATATTACATATGAACACCACGTATATTATCATTGAAGCTAAGTGAGGATAAATGGCAAGAAAATCAAGGCAAAGAAAATGCTGCTGTGACTAGAATTTTGATAATGATGGAGGATGCATTTTGAAGACTAGTTTAGTTCAAACATCAGTCTCATGTAGTAAGTAATCTTGTAAATCATAGGTATGGCAACATTTGTGTTATGTGTTGAGTCATTTTTATCTATTTTAACCTCGTATTTGTTGGTCACTACCATGACATTTGAGTTGTAATGTGAGTAATGAGTTGTGTCTGTCATGTGAATCATACAATGTGTCATGCATATATGCTTGACCTAGCCTAGCCATTCTATGGACCTCATTATGACTTTATTTTGATGACTTAAAAAGTAGCATATTAGCATCACAAAACATAAGTGTCTTTCAAACATGAAGTAAAATAAGATTATAAACTAAACTAATAAATCAAAAACAACAATAACAAGCCTTTATCCCACTGTGGGGTAGGCTATATGAATTTTTTTTTTCTATTATGCCCTATTAAAAGTTAAATTATCACTTAAATCTAATAAAAAATGGGACATTTTTAATATTTTCTAACCAAATATTTTTAGGTTTACCGCTACCTTTCTTAACATAAGCTGCATCTAATGCATCTACTCTCCTAACAGGGTCATCAAAAGACCAATGTTTTATAGATCAAACCATTAAAGGCTACTCTCTCTAATCTTAACTGCCACTAGAGCTACTCCAACCGGTCCACTTACAAACTCATTCACATTTTACACATAAGTGTAAAGCCACTCATCTACCTAAGCATCCTAATCTCTGCAACACTTAATTTTATACTTCTCTTTTAATAGCCAACATTATATGTTAAAAACATTTCAGGTCTCATCACCATCTTCTAAAATTTTCTATTAAATTTGAGGGATAGCTTTCTACCATACAGCAGGCCTAATGAATTCCCCATTTCAACCATCCAACTTGAATTCTACTAATAATATCCCCATCTATTTCACCATCTCTTTGAACAATAAACCCAATATATCTAAAACGTGCACTCTTTTTAGTGACACAGTCACCAATGTCACAATCCCACCACTAGATCTGTCTACAAAAATTAAACTCCATATATTTAATTTTATATCTATTCAAGTAAAAACCTTTAGACTCTTAACTTCCACAATTCAAGTTTTTCATTAACTCCCTCTCTATTCTTATCAACATGAATAATATCATCAGCAAAAAGCAAAAACTAAGATACATCCTTCTATAAATTTCTAGTAAGAGCATCCATGATTAAAACAAAAAATATGGGTTTAAAGCTGATCCTGAAAGTTCATGTATGTTATTAAACCTAATAGAACTATCCAAAGGCTAACCAAGATTGGGGTGAATTGGTTATTTAAAAACTTCTTGGAAAATTTTAAAACCGTTTCTAGAAAATTAAATCTCTAATCCTTAAAATATGCAATTGATTGAAGTTGTTTGAATATAATTTTCACAAAAAAATTTTCTACCACAAAACATTAAAGTGTGTAAAATAAAAATGCGAAAAATAAAAGAGAACAGAAGAACACCAAATTTTATAGTGGTTCGGTCCAACTAGATCTACATCCACTCCCTAAAGACTCCTTCAGGTATTGCACTAAACAATAGTGACTCTTCTTTTCCTCCCACAATAAAGCGGAGAAGCCCTTACAAACTCTCCCACCAGACCGGTGCAGTAGAGAAAAGTCATATTTTTTCACCCTCCCTGGTGAAGGTAGAGAACAACTGTCTTTCTTTTTCACCCTCCTGGTGAAGGCAAAGAGCCGTCGTCCTTTTTTCACCCTCCTAGTGAAGGCAGAGAATTGCAATCTTTTTTCACCCTCCTGGTGAATGCAGAGAACCCGCGACCAATGTTGAAGAACTTCACTTAAGAACCTCCAGAGGAGATGGGCAGAAACTTGAAGGAGACAGAGATTCTCGCTTTGAGCAACCTTGTGAATCCCTCAAAATTCCCCCTCACTTGATCTCTCACACTTCACTCTCACAATCTCTCCAAAGCACTCACACTCAATGGCCACTCTCAAGAGAAATTCACAACAAAGGTTTTTAGTAACAGTTTTTAGGACTCTTATATAGAAAGGAAATAAAAAATCGTCCAAAAACTGAAAATTGCAAGAAAACTATCTGACCATCATATTGTACAATCGCATGCAGTCCCGTACGATCCATCCGTACGAACGTATAACAACCTGTACGAACAGTTCGAATTAGTCTGTACAAACAGTTCGAATTTGTTTGTGCGAACTCAATTTTGTCATCCATGCGAAATGTATATCGTCTCGTACGAATAGTTCAAAAATCCATATACGATTGTACGAACCTGATTTCGTACTCTATCAGTCGTTTGTACGAACTAACATCGTACTATATGAACAATTCAAAATCTGAACAATTTCGTCTATTACGATTATGTATGACCCCATTTCGTACTTTGTGAGTCGTTTGTATGAACCATACATCGTACAGTACGAACTATTTAAACAAATCTAAAGTTTCGACTCACTCCCCCAATGTGTGTGTACACGGTTACTCAATTACAATCACACTCTTTCAGACTCAAAAAAATAGAAAAATTACATACTTCATTACAAGAAACCCTAATCTAATCTGTTTTGAAGTCTTCGGCAATCTGGAGTATGATTTCCCTGAAATATTAGTATACACACAAAACAAGTATAGAATAAAAAATACTATGAAACATAAAGATGTGAGCTATAATGTTTGTTATCATCAAAAACATAAACTCGTGAGCTCGAGTTGTAATAATTTCCCCTCTTTTATGATGGCAAACATTACTGGTTGAATTTACAAATTAAGTTTTATCTCTTTCACAATCTCCCCCTTATTAAGATAATTATTTAAAAATAGGGGAAACTAAAATAATTTTCTCTTTTTTTTTATAACAAAAGGATAAATAAAATAAAAATAACAGTACAAAATAAATACAACAGCACGTTCTCCCCCTTTGACATTGTCAAAAAGAAGAGCACAAAAAACGCAAAATAAAAAAAAGACTAAAGAACAAATGGACCCTGACCAGGTGAAAGTGATGTTTTAGAAAATTCAGTTACTTCTTGATTTTATTCAAAAATTTAGTAAAGCATGAATTGACAATGCATAAACCAGAAAGGTTAGAGATTCAGAATTTGTTAGTCCTAGCTTAAGTTCTTTTAAAGACTCAAAAACTTTTTAAGCCAACATGTAAATCAAGGAACAAATTAAAGAAGAAAACATTAATCTTTTCAAAACTCCTTTCATGTAATATATCTAATAGAAGATTAATGCAAAAATTGGTGAATCAAGAATCACAATTTTCAAACTCAAGTATCGAAAATATCAATAGATACAAAGATTTTCTTAAGATTTAAGAAATACAAAAAAGGTAAGCAAACTTATTATGGGCTTATTTTGTGCCTCTTTATTAATTTTTGACAAATTTTGTGCATCTTTTGATATTTGACACTTTGTGTATTTTTTCAAATTTGGTGTCATTATGCATTTTTTCAGCTTTGAGTTCATTTTGTGTCTCCTTTCTTTTTAATAAATATGCCTTCTTTATGTAATTTTAAAAACTAAAGCAAACTCATTCTAGTGACAAAACAAACTGCTTGATTAAGAAAATAAAGAGGTGAATTCATAAGAAATGAGATAGAGAGACAAAATCATGAGTTTCCTTCCTTTCACTATTTTTAGAGAAGTCAACCACAACTTACATAAAAATTCAAGAAAATATGAGATAAATTTTTCATTTTTAGAAAAAATGACCTTTTAAAAGTGATTTGATTTTCTAATGTGTGACATGTGTATGTGTTAATCAGAGTGACTTTACAAATAATAGAAAGAACATAAATAAACATATCTTAAAAAAAAACAACACAAAATTAAACACATTTGCAAAAGAAAAAAAATGCATGCATATATTAACAACACAAACAAAACTTTAAATATCATCTTGCTCCTGGTCTGATGATTCAAATGCTACATTTGCTCAGGAGATTTTTTAATTTTTATCATTTGTCCTTATTGCAATTTGCTTATTTTTACCTTTTCCATTGAAGGAAAAAAATTTTAAGTTCAGGCACTCATTTTTCATATGTCCGAGTTTTCTATACCCAAAGCAAATTACTTTAGAGGAATTCTTAATATCATTACTATTTTTACCTTTGTTTCTATTCTGTTGATGTTGATGCTTGCGCTTCAGTAGCTTTTCAAATTTTCTCATTATCGATGATATATCCTTACTTTCATCATTTATTGAGTTGCTTTTCTCAGTGTATTCGATATTTAGCACTATCATTTTACCTCCATCCAAAAATCTTTGAATCATAGTTTGCTCGTGAGAAATGAGTGAGACAATCAAATTATCAATAGTATAATCATTCAAAATTTTTTGATTAAATTATAGCAGTAACTTTAGCATTAAATTTTTCAGGTAGACATTGTAAAATTTTATTTACTTTTTCAAAATTTGAAACTTCTCTACCTACAGCTTGCAATGATGTTACTATTTGTGAAAACCTAGTAAGCATGTCTAAGATGGTCTTATACGGTTTCATGCTAAAA